CTGGGGCGCAAGGAGCCCGCGGGTGTCACAGCGCCTGACTCAGGGCGGCGGGCTCCGTCTAAGGCGATTCTCCCACGGGCGCATTTTAGGGGGGCGTGCGTGTGAGCATGAGCAAACTCGGGTATCCTGCAAAGCTCGGCGGCTTCCCATGGCCCGGGGGAGGTTTTGCCCGTCACATTTCCAAGCCAGGGTCGTTCTTCCCAATCCGTGTGCTTTTAACAAGCAATGCTTTCCACCTCTAGCGAGAGGCAGGCATTGCAGCAGGTTCCCGGTGGTCACGGAAAGGGGGTTCTCGGGGTGAGATGCTTCCCCGATGTTACATTCTTTATCAAAGAGGTGTGGTCGTTGACTTTTTAATCCTCTAGGCCAGAAGGAGGGGGAGCCTTGACAGAAATGGTCCACTAAGACAGGGTGCCCCTCTGTCCCTGGACGTGCATCTGTTGAGAGAAGTGGGTAGAATTACTTTTCACCTTGATTCGACTTCCGTCCCGTGAGTCCCCCAGCCTGAACTCGGGCAAGTCTTTCTCTCCGCTTTCAGCCATTTCATTTATAAAACAGTGGGCGGAGGTCGACGATCCCTGGGATCTCCTCTAGCTTTTAGCCTGTGACCAGCCATCATGTCCTCGTGGGTTTGAACCCTCGCTGCAGCCGTGGGAACGTGGGCTGCTTACTGAAGTTTTCCGTGCTGCAGTGTCCACAGCGGACAGTGGAAACCTGTCTCGTGGCTTCTTTGTGAGGATTGAACGTGAGTTCATACGTTCAGGTCCTTACAGCAGTGACACCGAGGAAGGAATCAGACACGTTCCATTTCTCTTTGACAAGGTGTCTAGTTCTGATTTTGTTTCTTCTCAGGAATGGAGATTAGTTTGCCCCCAGAAGTGTGGGTGAAGGGAGAAGTTTTGGCAGGGACGGGGCAGTCACAAGTGAATGTGGGCACTGTCATGGCACATTTTGGAACTCTCCAAGATGGTTCCTGCATTCGTCACTTTCTGGGACACTGTTTGAACACGGGATTGTGTTGCGCATAAATTGCTTACTCCTCCTTGGATGAAAATACTTGCCCGTCATCCCAATCTGAGACCTGGTTCCGCGGGACCCTCCTCCCTGTTACTCCAGTAGCTCCCTTGGTTGCAGTGCAGTTTAGCTACAGTTGTTGTAAGGAAACTTTTGAAGCTTTGACGAGAAGCCTGACATGGTGGGCGCTGCTGGGGCTTGTGTCCACTGCCGCCTGTACTGTGGCTCCTTACCTCTCGGAGTGGTAACACTTGGCACTCTCAGCCAGCTCCTCTTTACTCCCTTCCTCTTTGCCCTTGGGATCCTGCATCTCAGTACTTCCCGGCGTCCTTTCACATTATAACACACATGGATTTATTTGCATGGACGAGTCTGCACAGAGCGAAGGTGCCTGGCTCTGGTGCTGGACCTTCCAGGCCTGAGGGGGTCCGTGCTTGGAATACCAGAGGGGAAGGCCCTCGTCTCATCTCGTCGGTTTGTACTGGCTGCTGGTCCCTTCTGGGTGCTGGGTGTTTCTCAAGGCTCAATCCCTGACTGCTCCTCTCTCAAACCCACCCTTAGGGGTGTGTTCCTTGTCACCTGCACCTCTGTACTGAGAGCTTCCAAAGCTCCTTGAGTCCTTTATTCATGAGTTCCAGTTCCCTGTCGCAGCCGCCTACCGAACATCTCTTGTCATATCCTCTGTCAGCCTCAACACGTCTGGACCCATCACCTGTTCCCCACCCTGCAAACCACACCCAACTTTCTTCTTTGTTCCCTGGTCCTGGCTTTCTAAAATTTGAATTATTGACATAATCTTTTATTTATTTCCCTCCTTCATTCTCCATATCATCTAGCTTAGGGGTGGGGAATGTCCGACCCGAAGGCTGTATAAGGCCCTCGAAATCATTTGGTCTGGCCCTGCCAAAGCATTAACAGTGAGTTAGTTAAATGTTTGACCAAATATGGCAGGCTAATTTTTAACTTGATAATTTTGTATGGCCCATGAATGATGTTATAAATATCCAAGTGGCTCTTGGCAGAGAAAAGGTTCCCCACCTCAGACTCTAGCTGCTATGCCTGGCACATATTTACCTGCTATATAATCTTGGGCAAGTTACTTAAGTGACCCATGCCTCGGTTTCCCCAATTTAAACTGGACAATAATTGTACCTGCTTTGTACGGTTGTGAAGAGCATGAGTTAATTCATGAAAGAGTTAGAATGCTACCGTGCACATAGTAAGCACACAGTAGATGTAGCTGTTGTTTGAAGCCATTGACTCTTCATTACTCACCTTAAGAAAAGTTCTGTCTTCATGTTCCCACTGCCAAGTTCGTAGAGTGGGTCTGTTTTACTCTACCTTTGGACTAGCTACACTAGCCTCGCTGGCATAGAAATGTAGGTTTTGAGCTGGGAGAGTTAGGTTAGGTTCTCCAGTCCAGCTGCCATGCTGATGCTTCCGTCTCCACTACAGAGACGGCATCCAGCTTACAGTTGGTCGCCTCCAGTTACAGCAGGTTCACTACTTCCACAGGTAATTGCTTTCATTTTTGGTCAACGTGTCCTTACTTAGTTTTACTCCTGGATGTTAAAGAGCAATTCTAATCTACATGACAACCCTTTGCATATTTGAAGAGCATTGCCTTGGTACTTTTCACTATCCCTCACTCACACCATCAGTCTTTTCCTTAGGTCAGTGGTCGGCAAACCGCGCCTCGCGAGCCACATGCGGCTCTTTGGCCCCTTGAGTGTGTCTCTTCCACAAAATACCACGTGTGGGCACGCACGTACAGTGTGATTGAAACTTCGTGGCCCATGCGCAGAAGTCGGTTTTCGGCCTGGGCGAGTCTATTTTGAAGAAGTGGCGTTAGAAGAAGTGGGGGTACATTCGCTGAGGTCGACCCCTCAGATTGAGGACGTTTTTAGCAAAGGCCAGTTTAGGAGTACTGTAATTAAGTTAATAACAATGTACCTACCTATATAGTTTAAGTTTAAAAAATTTGGGTCTCAAAAGAAATTTCAATTGTTGTACTGTTGATATTTGGCTCTGTTGACTAATGAGTTTGCCGACCACTGCCTTAGGCTAAACATCTCTGTTTCTTTCACCCATTCTTTATAATGTCAGGTTCATGCTGATAAAGTTACCCTTCTGTGAATATTCTAGTTTTGAAATCTTTTTAAGACGTGCCACTCCTTATATGCGCTCATCAGCCACAGAAAAAAGCAAGGCTGTTGCCTCTAATTCTGTGTATGTTTCCCTTGATGCCCTTAGTTCTGTCCTCTCTTGCAGCTGCCAGTGATCATCCAAAATTTATGGCTTTATTCACATGCTCAGAAACTGTCAGTAATACCTGTGTCCTTCCACATCAAATCGTACCCACTTTTACTTGATTTTCAAGATCCACTAATCTGGCCCCATTTTCCTTTCCCACTGCCTGTTATTGTACATCCTCTGTTTTAGATTGGCTAGGCCAGTGGTTGGCAAACTCATTAGTCAACAGAGCCAAATATCAACAGTACTTCTTCAAAATAGACTCGCCCAGGCCGAAAACTGACTTTTGCGCATGGGCCACGAAGTTTCAATCGCACTGTACGCGCGTCCGCACGTGGTATTTTGTGGAAGAGCCACACTCAAGGGGCCAAAGAGCCGCATGTGGCTCGCGAGCCGCAGTTTGCCGACCACGGAGCTAGGCTAAACTTACCAACCTATGGGCCATGTGGCCTTCATACCTTCCCACGTGGTTTTTTTTTTTACCTTTATCCTCTTTTTTGCCTTCCCAAATACTCTTAATGGCCCAACTCCCATCTTTTTTTCACAAGCCTTCTTGATGACTTTAAGTTTTTGAAATCTATACACTGTTCTGACCCATCTCTCAATTTGCTTAGATCATACATGTCTTTCATCATTTTAAAAAAATCTTCTAATTAATAGTCTTGCCCCTGGTTTGTTATATTTATTTCTAAGTACTTTTGAGTTGTTGTTTTTTTATTGTGAGTGGCATTCATTTTAAAATTACATTTTCACATTGTTGCTTATGTATGGAAATGCTATAATTTTGTGGTATTAATTTCTGTGTCTAGCAATCTTGCCTTTAGCTCCAGTAGTTTGTCTATAGATTCACTTGGAAGTGAATCAGGGAAGGCAATACTGTGAAGGCAGTCATATTTCCAGTGAAGGCAAAAATGACAGTTTTTTCTTTTCTTATTTTTATT